AAGGATTAGGGGAACGGCGGCCATGTTTGTTACTAGACATGTCCACCTTCCCCTTAAAGAAACAATCTGCAAATGCTTCTCTGTTTCTTTTCTTTGAAGGTGTTTGATAATTTTCTTGATTTGGTTTGGTTGTTTTGGACCCTGGAATGATGATGTGTCATGGTGTGGGGTGAGGGGTGGGGGTGGGGTGTTGTTATTTTGACAAAGATTTGTGTGGAGGTGGGGTGGGGGGGATAGGTGTTTGAGGACACACAAATGTTGATTGAGTGAACAAATTTTAGAATTGACCTTGTCTATGGTAATAGAGAATTTTAGGGAGATTTTTTTTTTTTTTTTTTTATTTAAGTTGGAGTCTGGATCAGTTTGCACGCTTCTCGTGTATTTCATTAGGTACCTACTACCTTCCACCATGACATGTATCGGGTTACAAGTGCCCATCAAGATTTGACTATATACCCCACATGTCTTAGAATGACGGGTAATTAATGTCTTGATCAGTTTGCACGTACCTCGTAATTGCATTTCATCACATCCTTCATAACCAATCATTGAGTTCTAGATTCAAGACTACAACAAAAATCAGTGTATAATACTCCTTTCGTTTGAATTTGTTTGTCTAGTTTTGACTTGACACGAACTTTTGACTCTCTTGCGGTGTTAAAAGTAAAGATGTGTAGATCTTCTAGTCTTAAACATATCACTAAAAGAAAAGTAAGACAAATAAATTGAAACGAACGGAGTAATATATAGAATTGTCATATTTGTCAAGAATGAATTACAGAAACCTTTCCATTTACATGAATACATCAACATCAACGTCATGAATCTCTTCTATATCTTGAATATAAAACCATCATTGGGATGTAAAAGCCTACAAAAACAAACAAAATGAATGTTAAGAATGAACAAATCACACATAATTTGAACTCAACATTCTTGAAAATTGTCAAGATGATGGTAAATTTTCGTACCGCGAATATATTGTTATGGCCAGGATCAGCAAGATGTGACATTAGATTCTCAATAGGACCTTGTCCAGTATACACAGCTTGAAAACAAAAGCCAACGAAGGCTAACATAGCAAGTCTACCGTTCTTGATCTCCTTAGTTCTCAACACCATAACCGGTTCGGGTGATCCTCTTCCCCACATAAATGGATCAAACCATAATCCACCAGGATATCCAACATCTGTTTTTGGTTTCTTCTTGTGAGGTACTTTTGGTTCAATGTCAACACATCCTGGATTGACAATATCAGCCCATCTACGACCCTCGACCCATCCCATTAAGGCTAGTTGCACCACAAATAAAGTTGTCGAATCTGCAAAATACTCTCTTTCACCAGCATCATACCATGAAAAGTTGTCAATGAATCCAAGACTTTCGAGCCATTCTGGGATTAGAATTCCAGCTACTGCTAACATTGCCCATCTGCTGTGTATTAGCTCAGCTTGAGCAAACCATTTCAGTAACTCTGGATCAGACCCTGAAAAAACGAAAAAAAAAAAAACAGTTATCGGTCATTAAAGAATACAAACAAAAGGATAAATGAAATGAACAGAACAAATTTCTAATTTACAAGATACGGTCTATCTGGATCTAACTTCTCATCAAAAAGTAGGAGTGACCATGTCCGGGCGATTGTTTACCAAAAACAACAAGCCATCATAAAGTGGTAAGACCATGTATAGAGGCTAATGCCTACTCAGTGCCCGAAGGTCAAGGAAGTTGGTAACCTGATAACAGGGGAGTGAGTGACCATATTGTAACTATAACGGTCCTAAGGTAGTGAAATTCCTCGTTGGATAAGTTCCGACCCTACTAAAACTTGAATCCTCATTTTTCTCCAAGAATTGCATCAAAATTCAATCTTTCTCATAATTTTCAATAGTAACTTATATGTTATGTACCTAATCCCAGTGGATCAAAGCCAAAATCTCCAGGCAAACTGCAATTCAAGAACAAGAAAACAAATAAAAAATCTGCAAAATGAACCACTTAGAAAGAAGAAAATACACTAAAAAGACATTGCCTCCGTTTCAGTTTTTTTGTCTTATTTTGTCTTGACACAGAATTTAAGAAAGTAAACACGACTTTTGAATCTTGTGTCTTCAATCTCATGGTCTTAAACATGTCACGTGTAAAGTTAAAGTTGTTAAAAAAGGAAAGAGACGTCCTTTTTTTAAAAAACAGACTAAAAAGGAAAGTAAGACGAACAAATTGAAACGGAGAAAGTACGAGGTTAATGTAACCTGCCATCAAGCCATTCTGGAGGTGAACTTCCAGGAAACCATAATGGCCTATCTGGAGGAAGTGGTTCACAAACACTTGAAACTTCTTTACCAGCATACAATCTACTTTTTTTAGACAACACACATGTTGTAAATTTCCCAGAAAAAGTTTTTGTTGGTAGCTCCCTAAATCAAGAAAAAAAACAGAATTCGTTGAGACATAATATAATTAAGTAATTAACGATCTAATAGTTTAATCATTCAGAGGAGACGATCACGTGATTCAAAATGGTAGTTATATAGGCCTAAAAGGCAAAAATGCATTTCAACGTTTGAATAATGAAAAAGAATTAGACTCACAGGTGAGAGGGTATGTTAAAACATACTACTAATATACTTGAGCAACTAAAAGTGTTCTCTCTCTAATTAAGAATTCAGATGAGATTGTCACACAATTCAACATGATATATACAACCGCAACCCAAATAGCAAAAAGCATTTTCACGTTTTTGATTCATGAAAAAGAATCAGACCCACAAATGAGGTGACACATTAAGACATATAATATAAGCGAGTAACTAATAATGTGTTATCTCTAATAGCATTATATTTTAGATAAAATAGTCACATAATTCAATACAATGTATATAACTACAACCCAAAAGGCAAAAAGCATTTCCACGTGTTTGATTCATGAAAAAGAATCAGAGGCGGCAAATTGAAACATATAACATAATTGAGCAACTAAAACAACGCTCTCTCTACTAACTTAAGTTTTTAGATAAGATGGTTACACAATTTAACAAATTTTGTATTCAATATGCAACAAAATTAACAACAAAAAAAAGTAAAAAAATTGCTAAATTTATGTTACTGACCTGATTGGGATGCTAGAAAAAACTGTGGAGTGAATGGCTAAAGCCATGGAAGAAAATGAGGACTAAAACAAAGGCAATGTGTAATTTTTTTAAAAAGAGAAATGTATAATGTTTTTGGCCATCTGCTTTTTTAGGACAAAAAGCTTATCTACATAGATTGTGAAATGGATGATGAAGCATACTACAACAACACAAAAAATGGACCAATCAAAATTAGAAGATTTTTTGTTTTTACAAAATTGATATGTTTTACTTGAACAGAGAGTTTATCAAAAATAGTCTCTACCTTCTCAAGATAGAATAACCCTTCTAGACCATTACACTGGATATGTCGTAGTCCTTCCGTTTCATTTTACTTGACCCCTGTATCAAAAATAAATATTTCATTTAATTTTTCCATTTTCGCAAATCAAGAGAGTTTAGTTACTTTAAATAACTATATAAAGTAATAATAATTAGTTAGATTTTAAAATTCCAAAGTATCATTACTAAGATTAGTTGAGTAAAATACACCTCTAATTAAAATTTTCTTAGGAGTGTGTCGGATAAATTATCACTAAATATGTTTGGTATTAGTTTTTGTAAATGTCCCTAAAACCTATAGTGGCATTGTATTCAATGACAATTAACTAATGTCGATAAAAAGTTTATCACTCTTTGGTAATGTGCATATGTATTACCGCTAAAAGTTATTTTTGTTGTAGTGAAATTAGATAGATTATATATTTATATCACATTAATTAATTAATTAAAATTAGTAGGAAAATATCTTGGCTATAATAATTAACAAATTAAATTTCTTTCCAAACTTAAACAAAAACAATTCTAAAATCCACCAGGTTTTCAAGTAGACTGACTTAATTGAGCATTGATGTTTGTGAAGTGATGTGCATAGTAAATTGATAGCTACATTTAGCCTAATTAATTTTAACGTTTTTTGGTAGTTAAATTGATTATTTACATATTTAATTCTACTTCATTTATTAACATTTAACAAGCACCTCAAATAGATATACTCCTAAATTATCTACTACTAGCTTATTTATTTATTTCACTTTAGAACTCTTTTTTTAGAGATCAAATTTAAAGAAAGTTTTTTTTTCTTTTTAAGTAAAAGTGTCTAATAGGTACCTTTTTGTTACTATAGTGAGAGTTTTATGGGTTTTTTTTTATATTATATAACATAAAATTAAGTGACTTTGGTTTAAAATGAATATTATAGTTTAATGATCCTATATGAAAAATTACATTGGTTAAAAATGAATATTATATTGAATGTTCTTTAATTTATATTATTATTAGTTGTTTTGTGTGGTTTGATTATAGATTATAGTATTATTTTGTAGTGTTGTTCTGTTACTATTTGTTGCTTTTTTTAACTTACATTACTTCTTTTTATAGATTGTTTTCAGAGTTTAAATATGAGAAATTGTGAAAATGTGATAGTTTAGACATGTTTTTCTCTAAACATAATATATAAATATTTCATTTAACTTGATTTCATCCGGCCTCTATGTATAAATAAACACTTAAATTTGTATACAATTGAACAAGTACACACATTCTATTTGACATCCTATATGAGATAATTCACGTTCTACACAACATAGTATGTGGGACTCGTATGTATTATGACACGTAATATGTTCAATTTAAGAACGTAGATGCGAGATGGGGTCCAAATAAATGGCGTATTTATGTATTACTATGCATTTTGTTTAACATGAACTTTAAGCAAAATCCTAAATAGATTAGGCTAAGTGTCACATTGATTAACACTAAACCTTTTTGTGTTAATCAAAATCAATATTGTTCTAGTCTTCTTCTTCTTCCTTTGAATGTACTCATTCCACTTAAACCTATCACCAGATACCTCAACCATTCCACTCATTCCTGACCACTACACTTCACCTTCCAATTCTTGAAACTCCATTAATGAATCTTTAAACCCCATTTGATTTCTTGGTTTTTCTACTTGGCAATTTTTAGAAGAAAAAAAAAGTATAAAAATTGAATCTTTGATTGGTTCTAGGAATTGGGTTGTTCTTAATTTTCTGGATTAAGATCCCAAGATTAATTCTTTTTTGATATATTATATGGTGGAGACAGTAACATCGTCGTTTTGGTGGCGGTGGACGCAACCCCATCACCACCCACGTCGATGGGTGCCGTCAGTTTTCACCACCCACAAAGTCATTGTCACTGCTGTGTGGATCGCGTTCTTGGTAACCGTTTTCTGGTGGCAGGTTGATGCTACTGCCGGAATCTTGATTTTCCGGCGGGTTTTTCCGGCGAGGGAGGTACCGAAGTTCCGGCCGGTGGCGTTTAACTTGACGGACTTTGGTGGGGTTGGGGATGGTGTAACTGTTAATACGGAGGCGTTTGAGAAGGCAATATTAGCTATTGCTAAACTTGGGAAGAAAGGTGGAGGGCAGCTCAATGTGCCACCGGGATATTGGCTGACGGCGCCGTTTAATCTTACTAGCCATATGACTCTGTTCCTTGCTGAGGGAGCTGTTATATTGGGTATTGATGTAAGTTTTTAGCAAGTTTATTACTCATATGTTATAGCATTAAAAGTTTTAATCTTTGCTCAATGAACTTAGCAAGTTTCATGTTGTTCTCATTTATGCTAATTGTATGTATGTGGTTTCTTATTTGATTGTTTGGTTGGCTTTGCTTAGACCTTTTGAGTTTCAGATAGTGCTAATTGCTTAGTGTCTATGTTGCTTGGACTCTTCAAAGATGTTGTTGGATCCTTCAAATGTAGTGTGTTTTCGAAGGCTTCGACATGGATGCAGCATCAGTTTTGGAGAGTCCAAGCAACATAACTTATGTTACTTTTGTTTTTTTTATAACCTCAGCGTTGGTGGTGTTCGGGCCAGTTTGGGCGCACTTGGACTGATTTCATGGGTATTGCTACCTCCCACCAGCACAGGCTCCGTTGAGGCTAGGATAGGATAGATGGGAGGAAATCACCAAGCTAATTGCTTAGTGTTAGTTATGGAAGTCTTTTATGATTATTGGTGGATTGGGGAAGTAGCTTGGATTTGTTTGATACTGATAGTCCAGCTAGCTTTGGATTAATTGAGTTTATTTTGGATTGATGAGAAGTGAGAGACGCTGTTGATTTCGTTAAAATCAGTAATCAATCATCTGTTTTTAAGAAGATGATGAAATAGAGAGAAAGTGAACGGGAGAGCTATTTAAGTTGTATTGTGATAAAGGAGCTGAAAGCTTAAAAGGTACAACTACTTCACTCCAACCATACCTAATAAAAAAAACGAAAAACTACCTGACTCCCAACCATGGTTTGCTAACACCTCACCTGTGCTATCTTTTTACAGTTTCTATTATCTTGTGTGGATGTATTTCCTAATTTATGTTTACTGTTCAGAGGTGAGGATTAGTGCAGTTTCTTGTGATGATGGTGGATGAGAATTCCATTTGTAGTATTCTTTGCGGATAACACTCTGACCTTTTATATTATGATCCACTTAGCGACACCATCTCAAACGGCCCTATCTTACCATCGGTCAGATCTGCACATCCATCTTAACATCCACGTTTTTGCAACACTCGTCTTGTGGATATTTTTTCACCTTAGAGACTCAATATTCACCATGTAACAATTTTGGTTTTACAACCGTTTTGTGGAACATGCTTTTCACTTATGTGCAGGGGTGAATGTAGCTAACAAACTAAGGGTTCAATTGAACCCAATATTTTCTATGGAGCTTAGTAATTTTTCAGTAAATATTATATTTGAACTTATAAGTCTAAAAGTGTAATAAGTATAGTAGTAAAATCATAAAGATTGAACCCATCAAATTAAAATTCCGAATCTTCCTCTGCTTTTGTCGGCATCCTCCTATCGCATTACACTCCCATAGCACTCATCCATTTCAACCATCCTATTTTAATTCTGTGTTTCATCTTCATATATCTTACGGTTCTCCTAGAAGGTTCTAATATAGAGCTTAGCTATCTTCATTTTCCAACTTTTGTCAGCAAAGAGACTTTACGATCTAAAATTTTATAGCCTTCTAGAGTCATAGCCTAGTTCTTGGAGGTTATACGTTATACATTTAAATGTCTGGGTGTTATATTTTGCTCTCTTTCTTATAATTTAGATAGCACAATACGCTGGTTTGTATTTCCTCTGTGCATCTTGTGTAGCCTACAGTCTGCCACGAGTAAGAGCCTTGAGACGACTCTCCTAAGGTTGTTATGCCGGTACGTGATAAAACGTTGATTGTCCATAAGGCCCCTACTCTAATTTTGAAGCATTGCCTCTTCTAACAAACTCAAAAGGGAGTGACGTAATTCCGTTGATGCCTGCAAAATTCTGTAGTTAATTCTTCATCTTTAAATTAGGTTGACCCTAACGAATTGATGTAAATATAAGTGATTCAAGTGCAAATCGTTTCAGTGGACAAGCCAAACGGAAAGCTGGTTTTGCTTACTGGAAACGAAAGTTAAAAAGAAGAAGCCAATAGACTGTTCTTCATAAACAATCCTTCTAGCGCACACTAATCTGATTCATCCAAAACCAAATCCAAATATGCATTGTTAAAAAGTAAAACAAGACAAAACCATAACTAAACAGTTTTCAGATCGAATTGCCGAGTGTGTGTATCTCTGTGTTTTTGCTAGTCATGATAGGGGAATTAGGACCTTTTCCTGGAAGTAACAGACATGAGGAAGTGCATTAGAATAGCCGTGTTGCATACAAAATATGAATTCTTTACAAATGAATTGGTTGTTCCGACTAGTTTAACTTAAGAATCATCAATTTACTTGTCAGTTCCGAGCAATGTTGTCTAGGGAACATTTTATGTGGAAACAGTTTTGCCTGCAAAGTTCACTTTTGTAAGTTTGTTTGCTAGTTATAATTAGCTAAAGGAAAGTGAACTACAATTTTGTCACTACATTGACATTTTTCTGCCAACTTATGGAAATATTGTTCTCTCGCAATTGTTTTCTGGACTATCAAAATAACTTGATAACGTCTCATCTGGAACATGAGTAACCTCCCTTAATTTGAAGCCTGGTTTTTCATCTTTTAGTACAGTAATTAACAGCAGCTATTTTATTTCTGTATTTCTATTTGTATTTGTGGCATTCAACAGGATGAGAAGTACTGGCCTCTCATGCCTCCCTTACCTTCATATGGGTATGGACGAGAACATCGTGGACCACGCTATGGAAGTTTAATCCATGGACAAAAACTGAAAGACGTGATAATCACAGGTGCTTTTGACTCTGACCTCAGTTTGAAATTATAGCTTCTCATAAACAGCTCAATGTTTTAAAATTTTGAAGTCCTTGGTTTATTTCTTTTATTGTTTATTGGAAACAGCCTCTCTACCCCACTTAGGTTGGGGTAAGGTCTGTGTACATCCTACTCTCCCCAGACCCCACTTGTGGGATTACTCTAGCTATGTAGTTAGTTGTATTGTTATCCTTTGATGATTTCTTGCTATTACTGTTGTTTTTGCTGGAAATTTGAGTTTTATCTGTTTTTGGATCTTATTTTCTGTTAGTTAAGTGATGCAAATCATTGAAATCGCTCATGTGGCAAGTCCATGTATGATTCTATAGTCATAGTTTTCCTCCGGGGCCGTCAATTGCTGGTGCTTAGTACTGCTAAAGAGCTTCTTTTTTAGTATTATTGTAATCGAAATTATTGTCTCTTAAATGAAGGAAACTTTGGGGAGAAAGCAGGGGTGGGCATAAAAACCGGACCAAATTAATTCGGTTGGGTTCTCGGTTTCCTGGTATTTTGGTTAGCCGAAGAACCGAGCTTTCAGACACCAGAACTCTGTTTTCCTAGCTTTGTTGCAAAACTTTGCAACAACATGCACATGTGATTGTGCTTCTTGTTGATTGTCCTATGTTCTAATTATTGGCATTGCGATGATCTTGGCGTGTTATCAAACATATATGGTGAACTGTGTAGGCAAAGTTGATATTCAAATCATTCATCATCCAAAATATGAAGTAATGCTTCATGTAACTTGCTATATGAAGTTAAAAACGCTATATGAGCAGAATTCACATCATCTCGCGTATTCAAGAGCAAATCACCCTTTTTTCCTAGACATTAAGGTAGTATTAATCATACTGAACCGAATTTGAAAAAATCAAACCGAACTAATTTTGGTTTGGTGTTTGATATGTACCAATGAAGAACCAAAAACCAAAGAACCAAGCACCCACCCCTAGGAGAAAGAGATGATCCAAAGTTTTCTTGGTGCCAAAAATGGAAGTGTTGTTTTCTTAATGTTTCCATCTTCATAAAAATTTCAGAGATATTTGGCAAAACGAAACTTAACCTCTTTATTTATGGCTGCTTAATTGATTCTGCCTTCACACATTCATCGATATTCTTTATAAGATGTGCTGCATGTTTCTTAAAGGTTTAGTATAATAAAGGCATCTTGTACCTACTACATGCTCAAATATAACTTGGCATATTTTCTAGATTGAAGTATTCTGAATGCTTGTGAAAGTATACAGGAACAACCGCTGGATCTAATTATGCATATGTTGTTTCCATTAACAGGGCATAATGGTACTATTAATGGGCAGGGTCAAGCATGGTGGAAGAAATTCCGGCAGAAGCTTCTTAACCATACCCGAGGACCGCTTGTGCAGATCATGTGGTCTACTGACATACTAATATCAAATATAACTTTACAAGATTCTCCCTTTTGGACACTCCATCCATATGACTGCAAGAATGTAACAATCAGGAATGTTACCATCCTGGCACCCATTGCTGGGGCTCCAAATACTGATGGCATAGATCCAGGTGAGTCTTCGATAGGTTTAGTTATATTTAAGGGTTAGTTAAGGCATAGCAAAAATGGACATATCTATTTTGCTATCATATTTTCCCTGCTTCAAAAACTTCTCTTCTGAATCGAGGGTCTATTGGAAACAGCCTCCCTACGCCACAAAGGTAGGGGTAAGGTCTACATACATCCTATCCTTCCCAGACCCCACTTGTGGGACTACATTGGGTATGTTGTTGTTGGTTAAGCAGCTCAAGTTTTGACATATTAATTTGCTGTATCTTTCAGTTCAATGCGATCCTTTTTTAGCAAAAAGATTAAGTTCTGGACAGGGTTTTGCTGAAATGCGTGTCTTATGTTGACATTACTCTAAAAAACTCTAATATTCACTCTTAATACTTTTTTATACTTCTTATTTCCTGTTGCCAGCCACTCAGTATAAGCTTCTAATGTATTTTAATGGAGTGAGCAGATTCTTGTGAAGATGTGTTGATAGAGAACTGTTACATCAGCGTTGGTGATGATGGCATCGCAATAAAGAGTGGATGGGATCAGTATGGAATTGCTTATGGACGTCCTTCAAAGAATATACTCATTCGAAACCTTGTCATCCGTTCCAATGTCAGGTGAGGTTTCCATATAGGCATGATCATTTACATTTCTTTCATGATTGGATGTGTCTGACAACAATTGCATCCGGGGGTGTTATAGATGTTCAAAAAATCAAATCCCTTTTTTCTCTTCTTACATTTGAGCAAATGTTCTTTGAGCATTGACAGTTGGCCTGCTGATCAGCCACTTGTTGGTTTGATGAGGCATAACCTTTTTTTGGTCAATGATCGTGTTATTAACATCTTACCACTATTATTGAACTGAAGTTTAGTTGATTGAATTGTCGCTAAGGCATAACACATAAAGAGACACTCAGACTTGGCCTCAGCTGGCAAGTGAGCATTCCAACTTTGAGCGTGCACATATGAACACCTCAACTTGTCTTCCACTGTGTCAGTTAGACACTCCCAACTTACAAAATGGATCATCTTGACACCTCCAAAAATTGTGTCACGTCAGGTTAGGGTGTCTGTGAGACACAATGGGGACGAGTTGGAATGTTTAGTTGCCAGTTGAGGTGTCTAGATGTGCACTCACAAAGTTGAAGTGCTTGCCAGTGGAGGTAATGTTTGAGTATATATTATGTTTTATGCCAATATATTACTAGGAACTAACTCTGGGTGAGCTACATGGCAGTGCTGGTGTATCAATAGGAAGTGAGATGTCTGGTGGAGTGTCAAATGTCACTGTGGAAAACCTCTTTATCTGGAACTCAAGACGTGCTGTACGCATCAAAACAGCACCTGGAAGAGGAGGATACGTTCGAGATATAACATACAAGAACTTGACATTCGAAAACGTGAGGGTGGGAATCGTCATCAAAACAGATTACAATGAACATGCTGACGAGAGTTTTGACCCCAAAGCTGTCCCAATGCTGGAAAACATAAGCTACACAACAATCCACGGTGAGGGAGTTCGCGTGCCTGTTCAAATCCACGGTAGCAAAGAAATCTGGGTGAGAAACGTCACTTTCAGAGATATGTCGGTTGGGTTAACGTACAAGAAGAAGCATATATTCCAGTGTGCTTACGTTCAAGGTCGTGTTATTGGGACTATCTTCCCTGCCCCTTGCAAGAACCTCGATCTATATGACGAACAAGGACATCTGATCAGACGTTCTGATGCTCAAAACGCGACAGACATAGATTATGACATTTGAACTGATTCCACGGACTGCCTGCATAGTGGGAGCTTAGTCCACCGGGCTGTGTTTTTTTTTTTTTTTTTTTTTTTTACATTTTGTTCTCTGCTATACATACAGAAAGAAGTCCTTTTGATGTATTCAAACCCACAGATCCAATGTAAAGAACAGTTCCTTTGTTCCTGTACAGAATCTTTTTTCCATAAAGTTAGGGCTCGTTTGGTGTGAGGTATAGTAACAAATAGTCCCGGGATTAAATTATAGTACCGCTTATTTTGTTGTTTGGTTGGCAAGTTCGGGATAACTTATCCCGGGATTAATAATTAGTACCGGGATAAGTTATCCCTCTCCTTGGGTGGTATAGTAATCCCGGGATAACTTATCCCGGGATAAAATAGGTAAATGACAAAAATGTCTCTTTCAACCCTTTTGTTATATCACTTTTTACATTAATGAAGGGCATTTTTGTAAACAAATAAATTGTTCTTAAAATTTATTATTTTGAATACAACAAACCAAACACTCAATAAAAAATAATCCCAACACAACTTATCCCATCATAACTAATCCCAACATAACTTATCCCAACATAACTTATCCCATCATAACTCATTTTCAAACCAAACGACCCCTTAATGTTTTTACTAGTCCTTTGTGGTACATTAGTTTGGCTATTGTCACGCGTTCAAGCTATGGAAACATCCTCTAGCAGAAATGTTGGGTAAGGTTGCAAATATAATAGATTCTTGTGATCCGGCTCTTCATTGGGTCCTATGTCCTCTAGTGCACCAGACTCATTTTTTTTACATTAGTTTGGCCATTGTTAGGGGCACAAGCTATGGAAACATTCTCACAGAATTGCAGGATAAAGTTATTTACAATAGATTTTTGTGGTCCGGTCGGTCCTTTCTCTGACTTTGCACATAGTGGGAGTATAGTGCACTGCTATCTTTGTTATATTTGTTTTAGTTATTGTAATCGGTTCGAGCTGTGGAAACACTCTCTTGTAGAAATACAAGATAAGGTTGCGTATAATAAAATCTTTGTTGTCCGATTTTTCTTCGGGTTCCGAGCATAGCGACTTAGCGAGAATTTAATGCATTGGGCAGTCTTTTTTACATTAATTTGGTAATTATTGGATTAAAACCAAAGTGACATATTTCTTTTATTACTATTATTTTCGCTAAATTCTTTTTATTTATTATCATTGTTCTCATCAAATATATTAAATATTTAACGGAAATAAAAATATTCACTTTTAACAAACTTAAAGAAACAAAACTACTCAAGAATATATAAATCGAATCCTTATCATAAACATGACTTTAAATTTTTATACAATCACTTAATTTAAATTTTAATAAAATAATTACTATTATTAGTAGGAAAGAAGTTTTTGCATATAATTTATTTATTTTATCTTCCCTTTTTCCAGGAAGGTACACTTATGCACAATTTTCAAATATAGGAAAGTGCATGGAAATTGTTTAACTCCATTAAGATAAATGTGGTGGTTTAAAAAAATTGTCTTCTTCCCTACAAAAAAGAATATATTAAAGATATATAATTAAAAAAATGAAAAAATTATATATAAAGATATATAATTAAAAAAATGAAAAAATCTACTCAACAATCTAGATTCTTTAAGCATTACTTTTGCAACAATAATTTAAGACATGGAGTTTTTTTAAAAAATAAAAACAATTGTAACATTATTTAACTACTTTCAATTAAATATTAGTAGAATTTGTTGTCCCATCAATTTGAATTCGCGTTGAATAAAAGAATCTATAATTAAAGAGCTTCTTCATTTCCAAAGTTTGCACTTGAGATTTATGTTTAAAGATGGGATCTGGATTTAATCGAGTCTACTTATAAATATTGTAAACAAGGTTTTTCATCTTAATACAACGGCGGCTAGGATTTGCTCGAAAAATACATTTTGCATCATCTAGAGAATATCTAGATTGTTGACAAAGAAAATCCATCTACTTTATAAGATTTTATTATTACAGATCGATAACTCAAACCCATAAATCTTTTAACTAGTATTTAAAATTAAATATTACAAAAAAAAACAAAAAAACAAAAAATTTAAAAATTATACTTTTGTTCTATTTGTGAAAAGGAAGTAAAAAGGAATAAGCTAAGAGGTCATTGTTTCAAGATGTTTCCTGGAAACATCACCAAGTGTACAACACTATCTAGATTCCACTTTCATCCCGTGTTCGATATTCATATTATTTCATATGGTATTCGATATTTCAAAACATTACCAGTATAACTTTTTTATCTCTTCAAACTTCACTTATAAAATTTCACTAGATATATTATTATTGTTATACTTATAACTTGAACTCGACATATTTAATTAAAAATAACGTGATTTTATTCATTTCACCGTAATCCTCGGCGATTCAAATATGTATTGAATAAGTCACCTATCTTATTTTGTCCAATGCCTCGTGCAACATGTGTTAGCACTATATTTATTGTGTATACTTTTTTCTATAGATATATAGGACACCCATATTTATGATTCTTTGTCCTATTTTGTGTATCTTTTTTTTTTCTCTTGAATTATTTCAACACGTACAAGCACATTTATTCTTGTTTGACAATAACAAATATTCTACCGACATAAGTTATGGCGGGATGATTTCGAATTTTTATATTTAATCGGAGATTTTGAGTTTAAATTTTTAAAAATAAAAATAATCAATTGGGAGTGTTTCCACTAGAAATGTGTGTATAATATATAATTAACAAGAATTCAATAACCTTTGTATATGCATTAAGATATTTATTAAATATTTTACTATAAATTTAAATATATTATAACTTGAGATCACGGTAAGAATTTGTAGACTGCCTTAGTACGTAGGCTTTGTTGTGTTTCATTTGCTTATTACTGACTTTTCGCGATTAATCACATCTGACTCCTAAAGAATTTGATCCTTTTAATGATAAATATAAATTGACAATGACAACATTATTATCATGGTTATTCAAACAAATGATTAAAAACACGTTTAAAGTATTATTTTTTTCGCGAGTTTCACATACCAACTATAAATTATTATTTTTCTTGCATGAACTATCACTATATTTCATTTTCTTACTTGGACTATCATCATCTATGAATTAAAAAACACACATTGAAGTTAACTAAGTACGTCGACATCTATCTATTGTTCCTTTTTCATACCGTAACCATCATAATCTATTAAATTAAGTATATTTTAATACGTAGAAAATACTTGTTCAAGTTTAAAAAAAAGAAGTAAACAACTGAAAACTATGATGTGAAACTCGCAAAAATATGATAACTCAATATTATTGTTATTATTAGTTGTGTGCTAGAGTGAAGTAAAGATAACATAAAGAATAAGGAGCACAAGTTGATGGAATAAATTAAAAGTATAAGATTATATGCAAAGCTTAATTAAAAACATTATTTAATACTCCCTCCGTTTCACAAAGAATGATCTCCTTTCCTTTTTAGTCAGTTTCAAAAAAATGACCTCTTTCCTTTTTTGGTAACATTTTACTTTTTGCTTTCCACGTGACATGTTTAAGACCACAAGATTAAGGGCAATTTTGTACATTTGACATAACTTTAATTTAGGACCACAAGATTCAAAAGTCTTCTTTAATTTCTTAAACTTCGTGCCAAGTCAAACCAGACCAATCTTTTTGAAACGGAGGGAGTAAGTCACAATTAATAGGCTATAGCTTTTAGGTGAAGGACTTATATATTATGTAAATCATAAGTGGAAAAAATAAGGAAAATTCGAGAATATTTCAGACCAAATCAACAACACGTTATTCCTAATTATTTCTTATAATAAAAATAAATAATCCAAGCACTCAAAAAAAGAATTTGGAGTCAATAATTATTATTTTTAAAATATTTTGGAGTCAACTAATTTAGGACCATGAACTCATATAAGTCATATTCTGCGGAATTTCCATTTAATTAAAGATAATATTTGTACTATTTTTGTTTCTCAAAATTGATTTACTATAGTTCCAATTTTATGTCAAACATGTGATTGGATAAATGAGATTCTAGAAAAAAACTTGACTTCTCTTGTGATACATTTTTTTTTTATGTTGAATAAGTAAACGATCCAAATTAATCACTTTTATGTAGTTTTCTTGATAGTGATTTTTTTTTTTGATAAGATCATAGAGGTAGGGTATTACATATCAATCCATTTATGATATTTCTTTCTTCGTTCATTTTTATTTATTTAGTATTACAAATAAAGAGATCATGATAAAAAGCACACTTAAACAATTACTTTTCAATGAGTTTCACACTTTAACTATCAACTAATTAATTTTGAGGCGTATTTTAATTTATAGATGGTAATAGTTTCGATAAGAAAAAAAAAGAATAACTAATATTTAACATGTGAAACTGACAAAAAATAATTGGTCATGTGTGTTTTTTATTTTAACTCACAAGTGAATTTTCATTTTTTTATTTATTCACTTTAGTAAATCAAAGAAAAAACACTACTTATTATTTTGTTCTTGGTATCAACTCACACATATAAGTATATCAAATCAATGAATATATAATCATTAATATGAATATACAATAATATCACTTAAACATTATAAATTAATGTATATATTCACTATATTATTTAAATACAAAAAATTACATAAATTTAGTATAAATAACTAATGATGATAAATATTTTTTTCGTCTCAAAATATGTCACGAGTAAAATGGTGTTAGATTTTAAATAAATGGTACTACAACTTTAATGCCCCTTTATGTACTTGCCACTACTTAATATGTCACGAGTAAAATGGTACAACTTTAATGGTGTTAGATTTTAAATAAATTGATGGAGGCCACGTGAATTTACCTTTCGTACCTTTATATATGTGGATATAAATCTATCGCTTAATTCTTCTCTTCTAATATTTCATCATGATTCAAGAATAACGTTTTTCTCAAATAAAAGAATGTAAATTTTCTTGAGATTATTTATTCTTCGTAAATGGATTTTGTGGATTTTAAGTATTTGATTGTCAAGAAAAGTTCGGTCACATTTCACTATAACAAAAATATTTTTTAGCGGCAATACATATGTACATTAACAAAGAATGCTAGTGTCTTTACCGGTTAGTTAATTGGCATTGAATTTAATGTCACTATAGGCATTATCGACATTTATAAAGAGTGCTAATTGCCTCTAAAAGAACACATCTAGTGGCAATTCAGCTATTGTTATTAATTAATTGTTAGTAAATATCATTTTTGGTGTAGTGTCTTGATATGATCTTTGTGATCAATATTTTATGAGTTTATAGACTTTTCGAGATGCATATTCAAGTGAGGTAGGTTTAGGTAAATTAAAGTAGTATCCAAAAATCCTAATTGAATTAAAAACTTCTCTGGTAGAATCCCACAAAATTTCGAATGTAAACGCCCCATAATTTTGTAATGTTTGAAATAACAATTTTTTGTTTGACAAGTGGATTTATCGTAATTCATGTCAATCGTCATTAAGATATCGGCGGATAATGATAATTAGTTGACTATACTAATGAATAATTATATAAAGTCACTTGAAATTCTTAGATGGAAGTTAGAGGCCGAAGGGAGCTTTTGAAACAAAAATCTTAAGTGACGGTTTTATTATAACGAAGTTTTGACATAAAATATTATTTACGATTTGATTAGGAATGAGCATATTTTATAATATATAAGGAGTTAGAGGACATTTTACATAGTTCTACGAGTCTAGTTTTCAACGAACTAAATCGTTTGTCAACCTGACATCGAAATAAAGAATTATAATTATTTTACGGCAGGTTGTCCAATCAAATCAGGTCACGGATTAGGTACTAGAACATAAATTAAGAAATACCAATTCAAATTGTGTATTTTTATTTGCAAATTCACTATCTTGATTTGATATAAGTAATACTTTCGTAATTAAGTTTATTTTGTCTTTCGAAAGAAATTCGAAGATTGTGAACCTCATTCTCAAGCACCTTCAAAAATTGACCTTTTTTTTCCCTTAGGATATATTTAGTAAGAATAGATTCAATAAAGGCAATTCATTTATTCATAGCTATCCAACGATATTTGTCGATCCAATTACTGATAAAATACCATATCAATAACCTTAACTTAACATAATCATCAATTTCGCTTCTCCTTGATTAACTTTCATGGTCATCCAATTTTAGATATATTGTGTCCTAAATAAATCTAACTATTATTATTTGAATTTTTAGAATATTTCTTTCCTAGAAGTTTACTACTATCACACTTTTAAATAAGTATCAAAATTGTAACCACAAAACATAAAATAAAATTAAGTTATTTTAATAGTCAATTACTATAAGTTGAAGGATTATTCAGACATTATTGAAAGAACAAAAGAAAAAAGAAACTAAGGGGAAAGTTAACAGAAAAGAGAGTGGAATCTTATTAGCTCAATTGCTGACTATCTAAATTTTATATTGTACTAATATTTGTAACCATTTCATCTAAAAAAACAAAAACTCTCATAAATAAATTGATTATTTTTATAGACCAAGCATGTAAAAAAAAAAAAAATTGATATGAGTGGCGGTATGATGCAATCCCAGCACCTTCATCTGCTTTAAAATTCTGTTAAAATATATGATCATCTCATTTAAAAATTTAAAATATTAATTATATTATTAACGTCTTGTTGATAAGTTTTCGATACCCCAACTTTAAATCTCCTCCCTCGTTTTCCCTTTCCCTACGCCGAAAGGGCAAATATCGTAAATATAAAGAAGAATAAGGGCAATTTACAAAATATAAGGTAACCGAGGAACACGCAATATAACAGTGTCTTTTTTTGATTTTCCCAAGAAAGAATACAAAACGTGTTTGAAATATGTCTTTTTACTTTTTTGTTTTTTTGTTTTTGTCATTTAATTATTTCATTTCCTTTTCAAAATCAAACAGAAAAATAATTCAAACAAACATGTGTTTCTCATTAATAATTAAAAAAAAAAAAAAAAAAAACCCCACAGCTCACCTCCTCTACCCTACCCCTACCCACACCACCCCACACCCTTATATATACACATTATACTCAAAACATTATTCTTCATCCAAACAGTTCACAAAGGCATTTCTTGATATTTCAACTTTTCAAAATATTTCATTTTTGTTATCGGAAAAACAAGATGGGGTTATCGGAAAATGTGGATTCCGGCAAGGTGGCCGGACAGAAATCTCAGTTTTCTCAGACTTGTAACCTTTTGAGTCAATTCTTGAAGAAAAAAGGTTCTGTTGGAGATCTTAATAATCTTGGCATCTACAAAACTACTTTTGAACCAACTGGTATGTTCTTTTTTTTTGAAAAAAATGTATTTTTTTTAACTTTTATAGATGTTTTTGTGAATCATTTTTTGTTAGTATAATGTTTTTGGTTGTAAAGATTGAAGCTTTTTTAGTTTTGGGGAGTATTTATTCATTTTATTAGAAGATTTCACGCGTAAGTTTTCGGTCAAATTTAAACTGATTGGCTCTCGAAACATGAAAAGTGTCACATAAATTGAGACAGGAAGTAGCTTTTTATTGGTTGTTGAAAGGATTTGTTCATGTTTTTGGTTGCAAAGATTGTAGCTTTTTGTGGTTTTGGGGAGTATTTGTTCATGTTTCTTGTTGCAAAGATTGTAGTTTTTTTTGGTTTTTGAAAGGATTTGTTCATGTTTATGGTTGTAAAGATTGTAGCTTTTGGGTTTTTTAAAAGTATTTATTGTTCGGAAACAGCCTCTGTACCTTCTCGAGGTACTGGTAAGTTCTGCGTATATTCTATCCTTCCCGTAGCAATTATTGGGATTTCACTGGGTATGTTGTTGTTGTGTTTCTGTTCATGTTTTTGGTTGCAAAGACTTAGCTTAGGTTTGGTGTAGATTTTGAAGTTGAAACTTGAGTTTTTGAAGTTGTGTTTGGATGCGTATTTTACTTTAAAAAAATTGAAGTTTTGTGAGTGAAAGACGAAAGTCCGGGGTCAGTTTTTGGGAACTTGAAAATATTGAAAGATCTGATCATGATCAAGTAGATATTTAAAGATTAAGTTTCAAAATTAATGTTTTTGGAAGTATTTTTTTCATGTTTCTGGTTGCAAAGATGAGCTACAAGTTTGTTGACGAGTTCGACATAACTCAGTAGTTTTGGTCAAAACTTTTTATTTGTGTTTAAATTTTTTACTTAATATGTAGGTAGTGCTAATTAATAGAACAATAAACTATCTTTTCTAAAATTTAGAACTCATAAAATCGAGATCCCAACTCCGCCTCTCGTTTTTGGTTTTTGGATGTATTTTTTCATGATTATGTTTGCAAAGATTGTAGCTATTCTAACCAGGGGCGGAGCTACAAGTTCGACGCAACTCAATAGCTTTTGATCAAAACTTAAAAACTTTTAAACACAAATACAAACAGTTTTCTTGAAAATCCTCATAAACTCGAAATTCTAATTCCGCTATGTTCTTATGTTTCTGGTTACAAAGATTGTAACTTTTTCATATTTGGTTTCTGAAACTGATTAAACTTTCCATGTTTCTTGAAAACAGGATCTCAACAAACTGCTACCACCACTACAACTACTATGAATTTGTTGCCAATGATTGAGAAATCAAGTGATTCATCGTCGTCATCGTCGTCCGTTGAAACAAATCCTCAAAAACCCATGAATCTTTTCCCTCAAGAATTTGATTTCTCCAAAGAACAATCCACAAAAAAGACTGAATCTTGGATATCTGATCAACCAGAAAAGGCACAAATGACCATTTTTTATGGGGGACAAGTCATTGTTTTTGATGATTTTCCAGCTGATAAAGCAAATGAGATCATGAAATTAGCCAACAAGCAAAACCCCACAAACAACTTCACTTATACTATGATGAAGAATCAAAAAACAGCTGATCAATCTGGTGCAAATTTTGGTAACAAATTGATTCAAGAACTCCCAAAAGTGTCAATGCCACAGACTTCTGTTGCTGATTTACCAATCGCGAGGCGGAATTCACTTACAAGATTCTTGGAGAAAAGGAAAGATAGAGTAACATCAATTGCACCATACCAAATCTCCAACAACAAGAAATCCAAGAATGAGGAAAACAAGGCATGGTTGGATTAGGTGCTCAATTTGTTAAAACTGAGCAATACTTTTAGTTACTTTTCTTGGATTTTCATTTTTTGATGATTGAAGAAGGGGAGTCTTGACGTGGCGTAACTGGTAAAGTTAGTGTTATGTGATCAAAAGGTAGCAGGTTCGTGCTGTGGAAAGCTGTCAGAGCTTAGTACACCAGATTGCCCTGATGATTATAGTATTGCTTTAATATACTACTATTAGATGACCAAGTTTTTGGTTTTTTTTTGTTCTTTCTTTTTTTGGTTGGATTCAAGATTGATTGAAGCCACTTTGATCTAACTATGAAATATTATTTTTAACATTTTTTTGTAATCAAGACTAAGGATGTTTGTTGCTTAGTACCTCATATCATATATATATGTACTATTATTTAAACTCATCAAGGTTCATTGCTTTTGATTTTAGTGTCTTAAGGCAAGTTACTTTGTCTTTCTATTTGTATTTGTGTTGTGATTTTCTTGTATGGCTCTAGGGTTTTTTCTTGAAATAAAGCAATAAATTGATATCATTTTCAAGATTTGAACTTATGGGATGAGCTCAAAGTATTGCTTGAACTCATAAAAAATGTAAATCGGGGTCATGTCAATCCTTCAATAGTAATACACTTTGGAGGATCTGACACGAATACAACATCATTTTTGGAAATTTTGAGCAACATACACTTAAATCGTAGGTTCAAAAATCATACAAGATCAGAGTTCAAATTCTAATAGAAACATGAATTGTTAGGTGATTTATTGTAACCTTGATGTGTAAAGTTATTAAGTATTTAGTGAAATAGTCAACTTACACAACCAACTTGTCTAGACATCACCATTATAAAAAAAAAAATGCATATACAAAATAATATGAACTTAAAAATGGGAAATGGAAATAATAATCAAACAAGGTACACCTATTAGTAGGGTGAGGTCAAAGATGCCTGCTAGAAATTTTATATTATGATTTATAATTTGATATGTGTTTCACATGATATGTTATATTGTATGATTGATTTGGTAAGACCATATTGTTGGCCTCCAATAATTGACCAAATACATAATTTCAGAAAATTTTGCACATTTTGCTTTGTTCTTCTTGGCCAAACTCTAATAATGTTTACAATACCCAATTAAAGTCAGAAATTGGTGGCTTTTCTTCATTCAATTAAATGCACTCATTACTATTACGAAAATGAAATGACGTCCCGACTTGGTACGAGATCAAGACTCCTTATGATTTACACCAACGATAGTATTGAGTGGCAAGAGATTGATTGAAATGGCAGATCCAAACTCTATAATAACATATGTTTCATTTACCAATTTCCTATTTTTTTTTTAATTCAATTGAAAAGGCCATTTAGCTAAAGAACATTTGTAATGTGACCATAAAACATATTTATCTCCCCTCAAATTTGACCAAATCTTCCCCTTCATATTCTTACATTCAACCCCCCCCCCCCCAACCCAACCCACCACCACCCCCACTCCTCCCCCTCACGAGGTAAGACTTTCTCTCGATATCTTTCTTTTATTAAGTCATTGATCACATATCTATAAGCAGGGGGTTTGCGTTCACTATTAAGCCTACGCTTGTCCATTCCTTTCAAGCTTGATGGATTTTTCTCTTATTATAAATTTCATTGTTGTCGACCCCCTACCACCACCACCACCACCCCCAACAACAACAACAACCATTCTAGTGTAATCTCACAAAGTGGGGTCTGGGGAAGATAAAATGTATGCAGACCTTTGAAATATTGTTTTCGAATGACCCTCTACTCAAGCAAAACAAAGCACGTGACAACTTATAATAAAGTAGTGCAGAACATTTATACAAGCAACCATAATATCAACATGAATAAGCTGCAGTCACCTAAACACAGTAAACTATGATAGTCAGAAACAAAATCAATGGCTACAAGAATATGCTAATACAACGACCGATAAGAAGCTCCATCCATCCTAAGATTGGAGCATTCTAGTAATACAAACACGTAATAACTATCTACTAACTTTCTACCCTTATCCGTAATCTCCAAACTTTCTACCCTACCACCACCACCCCCAAAAACCACAAGAAAAAAAGAAAAAAATATCCCCAACATGATTTTTGCCTCTCTTTTTTTAATAATTAAAAGGTCCACTATTAACCCCCACTCTAAAGAAAAGAATAGAAAAAACAAAGATAAAACAAAGATTAAAATCCACCGTCCTATCCACCACACGGTTTTGAAAAATAAAACACGGACAAAAATTATTTTTTAAAAAAGAAAAATGAATAAACACAATATAATGGGATAGATTGGATTCAACTAAAAGTTTCAGAGTTCGATCAATAACAACAACGTATTTGGTGTACACCTATAAATAAGATTTAAAAAAAATAGCATACGATAGATCTACCTCTAACATTTTCGATAGACTCTTAACTTTGAGAAAAAAAGAGTAACGAAAAATAATAATTAACAAATTATTTTATTAAAGGATTAATATTTCATTAAGAATTTTTGCTATTTTATATATTATTCATATCTGAATTAATCGAGTCAATACTTACCGAATAATTAAAGAATTATAACTATGCCTATATTTAAAAACGTGGTCATAAGAAAGACATAGCCAAGTGGGCAGACAAATATTAGGTAAGGGGTGGACTTACTTGTTTCCAAGAAAGTAGTAATATTATTATTATTATTTAGAAATAAATGGAAATAAAATATATCTTTTGCAAAGAAGACTTTACAATAGTCACATTTGTTCCCACCTTACTCAAAGTCTTCTACTAATTAATATAATATAATATAATATAATACTATTAATTTATGTGAGACTTTTCGTTTTTCAATAGTTAAACAGTTTAAAAAAATACTTATTTAAATTTTGAAATTTGAAATGTATCACATAAATTTGAATGAAGAAACGTAACATAACATAACATAACATAATATAATATAATATAATATTGAACGAAGGTAGAGAGTTGAAACATTTGATACCCATCTAAAGTAATAGAACAATTGTAATTTTTAACTTTTGGTATTTAAAGTGGTTTTATTAATTTGAAGTCGTGTTGGATAGGCTTAATAGGATAGTAAATTGTATACTCACGCAAAAATATAAAAAAATATAAAAAAGACTCGAACTCACACTTCATAAAGAAATCTCGAGCATTATATTACATTTCTTTATGTTATTTTATTGTTCTTTAATAGGAAATTTTTGGGAATATTTTGAGGATTAATTACTTATCACGAAATCGAAATTGAACAAACAATGAACAAACGAAAACACTAAAATAGAATTCATCTTATAGTTGGGTAACAACAACGAGATAGAACTTAGAAGAGGACAAGAGACGAAGGAAGGTGAAAGAGTAGACAAGTTCTATAAGAGTGTGGCAAAGATGGGATAAAATGATAGCACATGTAAGAACAAGAAATTACCATACTGACCCTTAAGCAGGGTAACCCAAACTTTCTCACATTCTCGCTTCTATTATAGAGTAATAAAAGTAAAATTGAATATGAAAAATATACATGTGTCGTCAAGAAACAAAAATATAGAATTATCTCAATTCTTTGTGTTTATTAATTAATGGTTTTTTTTTTTGAAATATGTGTGGGTGATTCTATTTGAGCTCAAATTTTGTAGATTTATTGGTGATGACAGATTAAATTATGCTCATTATTTTCAAATCGAAAAAGGGACGTCGTTACATTTTTTGGAGTTAATGTGTCATTAAACAGAAAATCAACTTAGTCTCACTTTTTCTTGTGTAATGTTCATGAATTTTTTGAAATATGTGTGATCGACTCTATTTGAGCTTAAATTTTATGGATCCATTAGAGATGATCTACCAAATGATACTCATTCTTTTTGAAAGACAAGCATTGCTTTTTTGGAGTTGATAAGTTACGAAATAGGAAATCGAGATTATCTCAGTTTTACGTGTGTATTAGTCTATAATTTTTTTTAGAATATGTATTACCGCCTTTTAGAGCTCGAATTTTGTGTGTTGAATAATGGCAATCTATTAAATGATATTCGTTATTTTCAAAAGACGAATGCTACTTTTTGGAGTTTATGAGTATGAAATAGAAATTTAGAGTTATTTTTATTTTTCGTGTGTATTACTCCATGATTTTTTTTTGAATCTGTCAGACGGACTCTATTTGAGCTCAAATTTTGTGGATACATTAGTGAAAATCTATTAAATAATATTAATTATTTTTTAAATGCGTACATCACTAATTTTGAAGTTTATGTATTATAAAACAGAAATTCATGATTATCTTAAATTTTTGTGTATATTATATTATCCATTAATTTTTTGAATGTGCGTGATTGACTTTATTTGAGCTCAAATTTTGTGGGTCCATTAGTGACGACCTATGGAATGATGTTCATTATTTTCAAAAGGCATACATCTTTTTTTGAAGTTTATAGTTCGCAAAACAGGATATCGGGATTATCTCCATTTTTTGTGTGTGATAATTCATTAATTTTTTTAAGAATATGTGTGATCAACTCTATTTAAGATCAAATTATGTGGGCTCATTGGTGGACAACCTATTATATGATACTTGTTTTCAAAAGGTGGGTGTCACTTTTTTTATGGTTTATGTTTCGTGAAACAGGAAATCGGGATTATTTTTATTTTTCGTGTGTATTAGTTTATAGATCTTTTAGAATATGTCTAACCGACTCTGTTTGAACACAAATTTTGTGGGTACATTGGTGCTACCTATTAAATGATATTCATTGTTTTCAAAAGATAAATACTACTGATTTTTGTGGAGTTTATGTGTCACAAAACAGTAATTCATAATTATCTCAATTTCTCTAGTGTATTAATCCATGAATTTTTTGAAATATATGTGACCCTCTATATTTGAGCTCAAATTCTAAGGGTCCATAAGTAACGACTTGTTAAATGATACTTATTATTTCTGAAGATGGACATCATGTTTTTGGAATTTATGTTTCACGAAACAGGAAATCATCCCAATATTGTGTATTAAATTTTTTTGAACTATGTGTGTGATTGACTCAGATATTGAATGTCCATTGGTGATGACCAATTAAATG